CGGTGGCCCCCCCCCCCCAAGCCCGGCCCCCCCCCCCCCCAGCCCTGCTGGTGCCTCTCACTCCTGACCTGCAGCCCCTTGGACCTGCTGGTGCTCCTTACTCCCAGCCTATAGCCTCCTTCTCCTCTGCCCCCCCCGCCCTGCTGGTGCCCCTCACTCTGGATATGCAGCCACGTGCCCCCACCAGCTGCCAGGGCTGTGGGATCAGGGCCAGGTCCTGCGTCCCCCTGCCCATCTCAGCAGCACCTGAGTCTTGGCTGCCACATGTGGGAGGTTACAGTTGCTGTGCTTGGAGTGGAGCGTGGAGCCCGGCCTCCCCTGTGGGTGGCACAGTGGAGCATGGGGGGGGGCAAGGGAGGATGTGGGCTGCCAACTGCAGGGCTCCCCATGCTAGCCTCACTGCCATGGCATGGTGCCCCCTGCCTACCTAGCAGCAGTGTGGGTGGCAACGTGGAGTTGTGCCCCCTGCTGCTGCCGGGTGGGCAAGGGGCTCCTCTTCATGGCAGCACAGCTGGAACGGGACTCCAGGTGGCGGCAGTGGCAGTACCAACTTCTCCATCCTCTGGGCTGTGGAGAGAGCAACAGGGTGGGGAGCCCCAAGCCCACAGCAGGCAGCCTGCACCCACCCCATGCACAAATCGGGGGGGGGAGGGCACATGTTCCCCATGTTCCCCTCCTCAGGAGTGCATGCACAGCAGGCACCAGGGGGAACTGCTCTCCACCACTGCCTGGTTGTATTGCTGGCCATGTGCACATGTGCGTGCACAAGCATGTGGCATACTCTGTATCCCACTCCCCCCTTGTAAGCTGGAACTATGCCAGCCTGCACCAGACGACCTGACCTTTCCTGTGTTTTTCCTCCTTTAATGCAGAAAATCTGCATTTTCCATGATGAACAGAAAACCCAGATCCCTGATAATGAGAGAGGACAGTTTTTCTTTGTAGTTGGGATATCAGTCTTGCACATACATTCTGCTCGCTAACTGAACCAGTGTTGCAAGCCCAGACTGAACAGAGCGGCTCAGTAGGTTTTGATGCATATTCTTGCTTTCTGTACAGCAGTGTAGAACATTGTAGATATAGGAGTGTATTTCAAATTAGTTTATACTTGAAAAGTGGCTTTTTCATAGTTTGTCATGCCAAGGAGGGACAGCATTATTTGGAAGAAAAAGTGTAAGGTACTGCTGTAATCTGCAGGTTTGTAATAGGGTGGCTACCAAACTGACTTTCTCCAACTTAGTTGGTTTTATAAATATGACTGGAATCGTTCCTTAGATTTTACTTGACTTCTATGCATTGTATCAAAGATGTGCTTTAAAAAAAAGTTTGTGTTGTAGTTTGTATTGGTAGATTCCCTGTGCATTGAATCTTGCAATCTCTATATAAGGGGCTAAATTAAAGTCAAAATTTTTGCAATTGAGTCTGCATTTATTTGTTCACTGGAGACTTGATTTCTCAATTGAAATGTGCATTTGTCTTCCGGATTTTTAACCAAAGCTGTCCTCTCTCCTACAAGTATGCTAATACTAATTTGCTTTAATTTTATATAAATCCCAGTATTATGGGGTCAGCAACATAGCGTCTGACATCTGAATTAGTTTCTAAGGGCATTTATACACATACTTTTGTCTGCTCTGAAGCGCCGGAAATCTACCGCGTCGGAACAGACTTGATTTAATCGAACCTGCAGAGCATATGAACTAATGCGCCCAGCATTGCATCTCATACATTTGTATCAATGGCAAAATGCATGTCAGCATGCAGAAAATGGGGGCAGTGCACTTTTGAACTAAAACACCTTTGATGTGTTTTAGTGGGAGGGGGGGAGGAAATAGCACTTTACTGCAAACTTGGCACACTCTTGTGCTGAGCCTAGCACATGCCCAGAAGAGGCTTTGCATTAGCTGGACCTGGCTTGCCTAGCATCTGTATAGATTGGGCATTTTAGTGGGGCTTTTGGGGTGCTTTTACCTAATAGCTGATTGAATAAGCTTTAGATAAAATTGCCAAAAAGCCCCACTGAAGTGCCCGATCTATACAGATGCTGTGGAGCTGGGTAAAAACTAACATGCTGCTGCTTCTGGTAAAATGTGGGAGGGGTTTTGGTCTCTTGATTTTTTTTAAATTTTATTTCCCTCTTCCCCGCCCCAATCTGTCAGCACCCTAAGATACTGCTCTGCCCTACCTTCTGCCTGACTTCAGAAGTAACCACCTCTGAATGCTAAATTAACACATCTCTGCCCTCTGTGGGTCAGAGGCAGTGGCAGTTAGGTTTTTTTGCCACTAGGTGGTGGGTTTTCATACAAAATTTAATATAACAGCAGGATATATAAACTTGTGACAGTATCATTTTTTTGGTGCGCTTAGCAGGTTAGATAAAATCTCTTTATGGGCTGGAGCTCTTGGGCCATAGGTTGCCAACCTCTGCTATAGAGCCTTCAGGAAATTCATCCCATGTAATTTGATGTGGGTTTTTTTTTAATGTTTTGTTACGTTGCTTGTAAAAATTTTTTGTCCAGAAGACTCCCTTTCCTCGTAATTGATGCTTTAAGACAGAACAATTAAGACTGTATTTGTCAGTTTATGGGTTTTTTTTATACTTTTGTCTCTCAGGGTTGCTTTGAGAAGTTCAGAACTCCTCTATATTTATGGCAATCTTGACTCACGTGTACGAGCCCTTGTGTTCGGTATTCGTTGCTGGGCCCGGACACATGGAATTACAAGCGGTACCTCTGGTCCCTGGATTACAAACTTCTCTCTAACAATGATGGTTTTGTTTTTCCTGCAAAAAAGAAAGCCACCAATCCTTCCAACACTAGCCGACCTTAAAAACCTGGCAGGTAAGGACATCTCATTTTTTGGAACAAGAGTGAAATGGCTTTTGAATGTTTTCCACTTCCATTGATTTATGTGTAAACCTGGGTCATTATAAACCAGAATACCCTGGTGTATTGCAAATGTCACATCTTTGATGAAATATTCATGCAATTGATTGTTATTAAATAACTTTCTGTTGTAGGATGAATATTTTGATGAAACAGTCACATTTTTAAGAAGGACATTTTTCCATGTTCACGTTACAATATTAAATACCATTAAATCTAAATTGCCAGTATGAGTGAACTTGTTTGTGTGCATTGAGTAATTAAAATCAGCCTTTATAATAAAAGTCTGGCTTGTCCTTTTTCTGAACTGTCACTTCTGATTTGCTGACTTATTTTTTTAATTTGCAAGAGAACCAGGCTGCCGTGTCACTGATATACTTGGACTTGGTATGATGCCCATTTTATAGCCACTAATTTACATCAGTTTTAGATATTCAAATAAATTAAATGTAACTTCTGACTTGATAATAACTTTTACCAGAAGTTTTCAGTGACCCATAAATTATACTTCAGCATCCCTGAGGTAGTTTGTTTACCTATTTAATAGATGGGTTAATTGAATATGACCTGCTTGAGGTAAAAGAAAATTCTCCAGTGAAGAGGGTGCAGGTCAGAACTGATTCCTTAGTTTGCTGTTCTGACCATTATAAGCATACTCCAGTGATTCCTAGCCAGCGTGCTGGGGCACCCAGGGGTGTCGCAATGTCCTTTGAAGGGTGCTGCAGGAAGTGTGAAGAGATAAGCAGATAAAGGCCAGTTCTGGCTCTCCCTGCCTACCTGATCCCCTGCCATCCACTGCCTGCCCCCTCTGCAAAGAGATAAGCCCTGTATTAAATAAATAAGGCTTTGAAAAGGGGTGCCGCTAGGTTCACAGAAATCATGGAGCGGCGCTTCAGGTCTCAGGAGTGCTTTGTTAAGTCTAAAAAAGTTGACAAGCACTGGCATAGTCTCTTTCAAGTTTTGCAGTAGAGAATAAATATAAAACTGTGTAGTGAATTGTGATGATTTTGAGGTAAAAGTAATCAAAAGCCTTTTAAATCAGTTGTCAACTGACTTTTTGGTGTTATCTGTGTAAGTAAGGCTCACAGGTTTGTTTCCTTAAGGGGAGATTTTTTTCAAGGGGCACAAAGGTCATGCATCTTCACTATTTGGGCATTCAAGTATTTTTCATTTAGTCCTGAGCAATTCTTCCTTCCCTCTCTACAATTGTAAAACACCTCAATCTCTGAAGGGTCACTTAAAATAACTATTCCCAGTTCACATCTTGTACTCACTTTCTCTGAGTTAACTTCAGATTTTTCTTTTAGAAGCAGATGTCTGAGCTATGCTAACCATGATGGACTTTTTTAAAATGTGTGTTACTTTGAAACATGTTCACAACTTATTTTCAGATGCAGAAGACAAGCATGTAATTGGAGGTCATGACTGTACATTTGTTAGTAATCTGAACAAAATAAACCAGACGGAAAACACAGAAACTTTGGGTAGGTAAATCTTCAGTCAGTGTTTTGTCTCCATCGTATTCGGGGGGAGAGAGGTACAGGGGTGTGAGGGGTAGAAGAAATCTTTCCTTCATACCATGGCTTTTTTTGTTTTTCCAGATGTGCTTCTGAATGAATTCTTTGAATATTTTGGAAATTTTGATTTCAGTAGCAAGTCTATAAATATTCGCGAGGTAAATGGATTTTATTTTCTTACTGTTACTTTATTCTTACTGTTACTTTATCCACTGTAACGGGGAATTGGGAATTCTACAAATATTAAGCTGCAGTATTGGGCAGGTGACCAAATGTTGCTGTTTTTGCTTACCTGTGTGGGATAAATGGATAATCATCTGTGTTCCCTTGTCATAAGGAAACTTTTGTATTGTGCAAGTGTGTGGCAGTGGCATAAATTTGATTGGCACAGAATATATTTGAAATGATAAAATTGAGAAAATTAATGTAAAACTGAATCTGTTGAATAAGAAGTTCAATTCTGCAAAACAAAACATGTTCCTTTCCCCCTACTTTGTTGATAGCTTTACAGCATTCATGACTGATGGAAGCTTCCAAATTACAGGACCTGGTTCTCATGTGGGGCTTGAATTATCAGGACATCTGTTGGGAAGGAAACACAGTAGTGCAGAAGCAGTCCAGCAAATTCTTTGTGTGTGTAGGGGTAACTTTTTTGGTACAGATGATGATGGACAGGCATACTGTGAAGGACGCTCTTCTCAACTTGATGCTCACAAACAGGAAGGCTTTGGTTGAGAATGCGATGGTAGAACATAATATGGACTACAGTGGCCACAAAACTGAACTTCAGAAAAGCAGGCTATAGCAAACTCAGGGAACTGATGGAGAGGATCCCTTGGGAGGCAAGTCTGAGGGGGAAAAGGAGTCCAGGAGAGCTGGCTGTACTTTAAGGAGGCCCTTTTAAGGGTGCAGGAGCAAACCATCCCAATGAGATGAAAGAATTGGAAGTGCAAGGTAGGGCATGAGAGAAAACTAGGAAGGTCAAACCACAATTTGAGATGCAGCTGGAAAGGCACAGAAAAGGCCATAAAAAGATTCTAGATCCAAAAAGATGTCAAAAGTAAGAGGAAGACCAGAGAAACCATAGGTCTCTTATGGAATGCAAAAGACAAAAATGGTCTGCAATGAGTTTTAGCAAGGGCAAGTGCAAAATCCTGCTCTTGGGACAGAATAATTGTATGCACAAATGCAGACTGGCTAGGCTGCAGTACTGCAGAGAAAAACTAGAGGTTATAGTAGAACAGAGGTCTGCAACATGCTTGGACAGAGTCCCAAAAAACCCTGAAACCTCAACTTGTAAGATGTTGATGTGCCAGTGGTGGATGGCAGGGGAGCCATGAAGGGCCAAATCTTCATTGTGACAATGCAGCTGCAATCACTTTCCTGGTATTCATCCCAGGGTGCATGTGCACTTGCTGCCAGTAATGAGCTAGGCCAGAGTTCCACAGGCCCTGGTACAATTGCTTGCAGCCCCCTCCACTGTCTGCTGTGAACAGCCTGGGCTCCATGGCTGGCAGCATGGGCCTGTCCAGAGCCCAAGCCAGCTGTGGCATGCCAAGCAAAATGGCTTTGCAAGCCATGCTCTGGCACAGTGCCTGGGGCTGCAGACCTCTGCAATAGACCATAAGTTGAATATTCGGCTACAATGTGCTCTTGTTGCAAAAAAAAAAAAAAAAAAAAAAGGGGGGGGGGGCATGGGCAAACATAAGGCTGGACTATTAACAGGAGTGTCACTTGCAAATCACAGAAAGTGATTCTTCCATTCTCTTTAGCACTAGTGAGGCCTCACCTGTAGTAGTGTCTAATTTTAGGCCCCACACTTCAAGAAGGATGCAGATAAATTGGAAAGATTGTAGCACAGAGCAACAAAATGATTAGGGGCCTAGAAGGCAAGATTTATGAGGAGAGGTTGAGAGAACACGGGTTTTTTAATTTGCAGAAGAGAAGACTGAGTATAGAGAAGACAGAGATGGGCTTTTCTCTGTGGCTGTAGAGGACAGGACTAAGAGCAGTGGCCTCAAACTGAAATAGAGAAAACTTAAATTGGAGATTAGGAGGAATCCTCTATGAAGATTGCCAAGCATTGGAACAAGCTACAGAAATTGTGGAATCTCCATCCTTGGGATTTTTCAGGCTTAAGTTGGACACATGCTTGACTGGGATTATTTAGCCAGGGATCATCCTGCCTTGAGAAGGGGGCTGGATTAGATAACCTTGTGAGGTATCTTACAGCTCTACTTTCCTATGATCTGTAAAACCCAACAATCACATATAAACCATGTATCCCAGAAGGCTTTGCAGTGTTTTGGTGTCTTCTGGGATAGAAACACAGACCCTGTCACTTTTAAAGGTTGGTACTGGCAAGGTTGGCCCTAGCCATAGTTTGTGTCTGCATGCAACATAGTTGGTTAAAACTTGACCAGTTAGTAGGGTCGGGCAAAATACAGCCCACAAGCTGGACCCAGCCCACCAGGCTATTCTGTCTGGCCTGCGGGGCCCCTAAAATGATTAATATATATTGGCCCCTGGCTGCCTGTCAAAGATAACAAGGCACCAGTGGCAGCAGGACCCAGGGGGAGCCAGCAGCAGGACCCAGCAGCACTGGCAGCAAGACCTGCCTCATCCCTAGTCCCTAACCAGAAGCGTCTGTCTAGAGACTTCTGGCCTGGGCCCCTGTGGCTGTTCCCCCAGCCTCCCTTTTCCCAAGAAGGAAACTGAGATAAGACAGGGGGAATCAATGGTGCAGCAGGAGTCCAGTCGCCATGGTTTCTGGCTGGCTCATGCTGTGCCATGTGGTCCCAGCCATGCAGCCAGGAACACTATGTGCTGCCAGCTGGGCTGGGTTGGCTCCTGCACCACACAGTTTCTGGTTGCATGGCCAGGACTGCATGGCACAGCAGGAGCTAGCCAGGAAATGTGGGGGCCTGACCGGCTCCTGCTGCGTCCTGCAGACCCAGCCATGTAGCTGGAAACTGCGCACCCAGGAGTGGCTAGTAGGGGGGAGTGCAGTGGCAGCAGGCAGGGAAGGAAGAGAAGGGAAGCGGCTGGGGAAGGGGCAGGAGTGACAGGCAGGGGTAAGTGAGCAAGTGGAAGTGAGCCAGTGGGCAGGAGTGTGGTGCCGTGGGGCCAGGGCCAGCAGCAGCAGGAGCCAGCTGGGAACCATGGGGCCAGGCTGTCACGGTCCCAGCCATGCAGTTGAGAACCATGTGCACTGCCAGAGCAGTGGGACGGCGTAGGAGGGAGTGGTGGCAGCAGGCAGGAAGGAAGGGAAGGGCAGCAGCAGCAGGCGGGGCAAGTGGCGGTGGCAGCAGCAGCACACTGCAGGGGAAGTGGCAGCAGGTGGGAGTGCAGGGCTTGTATTGGAGCCCTGGGGGCAGGGCTGGCAGAGGCCCAGGGTGGGGTGGCAGGAGCTTGGAGCCCGGGCTGGCAGGGGCTCTGTGGAGCCGGACTCTCCACCACTCTCCCTGCCAGCAGCCCAGCTACATGCAGCCCTGGGGCTCACCTGGACCGCACACCACTGAGGGTCTCTGCCTGCCATGGGCCCTGACCACCATACACACACACCCAAACCCCCTCACATACTCCAGCCACCCTCCCCCCCACACATGCCACAACCTCCCCAGCCACCATCCCCCCCCAAAAATATACAGAAGTAAAATTTCGTTTTAAGCTTATTATGCAAATCATCTCTATGTACACTACACAAATGCACATAAATCAGGAGAGAAATATTTTTTGAAATCAAATTAATGTACGTTTGAATTTTTTTTTTCTGGTTCCATGATGGTAAACCCCCTAGCCAAAAGGAGTACTTCCAGGGGCAAGGGGAGGGACTTCTGGTGGTAAAGTTCAGGGGTTGGGGGCAGGACTTCAAGTTCCAAGATGGCAACCAGGGGACAGGGCACCTGCAGTGGGGCGGGGCTACCCTTGCGGCCCTGAACAGCTCACCAAAACTTGTTAAGCAGCCCTCTAGCTGAAATAATTGCCTGCCTGTGGCCTAGAGTCCAGTCTGCACTGTTACCAACTGTGCTGTATGAAGAAACCAGATATGCCACGATGGATCTCCAGACAAACACAAAATATGGGTTATACCAGGGGCGGGTAGTTATTTTGACCAGAGGGCTATTTAACAAGTTTTGGTGAGCTGTTGAGGGCCACACACAAAATCTTTCTGAAGATATCATTTTAACAGATTACAGATAAAAATTATACTAAAAATCAGACATTTACTATAACACATTTTAATTTTACTTCAAAAAATAATTTTTGTCCTGATTTGTGTGTTTGAGTAGCATATATAGAGGTGATTGCAAAATAGCTCAAAATAAAGTCTTACTCTTGTATGTTGTGGCTGGGGGATTGTATGTATGTGTTGGGGTGGTAGGTGTGTGTGTGCTGTGTCCTAGGGGCTGGTCAGGGGAGAGTGGAGGTGCATGCAGTAGAGGTTGGCTGGGAAGTGCAGTCCAGGTGTGATCTGTGGCCCCCCCTCCCCCTTATTCAGCCTGCCAGTGCCCTCATGACACTCTGCATGGGGCTGAGCCCCACCCACTCCCTCCCACACCCACCAGACAGCAGCCAGCACACGCACCTTCCCAGAATGGCTGCTGCCACAGCTGCCTGAGTACTGCTCAGGTCCCTCTCCTCCTCCTCCTCCTGCTGCGCCACTCCAAGGAGCTGGTAATGCAAAGAAGCCATAGCATGTCAGGCACCACACACCCAGCCAGGTAGGAGGAAAGCTGCAGCCGGGAGACCTCTACCCCAACTCCAGCTCGCAAGGCTCCAGTTCCAGCTGCTTTCCACCCACTCTCCCACCCAGCACAAGTGGCCACCTGCAGGCAGCCAAGTGGGTGGGAAGGAGGCCTGGAGCTAGAGTCCCGTGCATTGGGGCCAGAGCTGCCCGGCTACAGTTCCCCCCTACCTGGCTGGGAGTTTGGTGCCCAGCACACCCCTCCCCCCCATGGCTTTCCCATGTTACCTTCTGTCCAGGGCAGTGCAGCAGGGGCAGAAGGAAGAGCTGCTGGAGATGTGGGGGGAATCAAGCAGTACCTGGGTGGCTGCAGCAGCAGCCCTGCCAGGAAGCTGTGCGCTCTGGCCAGTGCCATCAGTGGCCATGGGTGAGAGCATGGTGTGGGCAGGGCTTGGCCCCATGTGGAGCACTGTGGGGGCAGCTGCGGGCCATATCCAATCAGTTGGCAGGCTGGATCCAGCCCATTGGCCATGTTTTGCCTACTTCTGATGCAGAAGCAAGAATGATGTGGGCAGAGTAACATGGAATACTAACTTCATTAATATCTTCTTTGCTTTTTATGAAAAATACCTACTGTGTCAAAGTACTTTTGCAATTGCCTGTTAATATTTAATGCTGCTTCAGTAACTTAGCTGAACTTTTATGTTTACTATGTGTATAATATACATGTGAAATATTTGCCTTTTTTGTCTCAAATACCTTCAGGGAAAGGAACACAATAAGCCTGAGCCTTCTCCTCTCTACATTCAGAATCCCTTTGAACAGGCTCTCAATATCAGTGCTAATGTTAATCAGAACCAGCTGGACCGATTTGTAGTACTGGCCAGAGAGTGTGCCTGGATTTTACAGCAAGTAAATCAAGACCATGGGCAAGAAGGTGGTAAGCAACCTTGGGGACTGGCAGCCATACTAGTACCTCGTGTAATAAGTAGTAAGAAGAAGAAGGCTAAGAGTATGCTAGCAAGTGCAAGACTCAAAGCTTTGTTAGACAGTTTGAGGGCTGATATTGCAAATAAAAAAGGAGAAAGGGCCTTCAGTAGCTGGTCATTGAAGTAGCTGCTGCTTTGTTTTGAGAACTGGTTCTAGTAAGTGACCAACAGAACATTACTTGAACTTTATATCTACATGAGGGGAGTTGAAAAGAACAACCTCTGCCTTCCACTGTGTTGGTCAGGCCCATCTGTTTCTTCTGGGAATCAACTGTGGTCCTCTTCATCATCCAGGCTTGGATACAGTTAAAAAAGCAAGATGGAGTGGGTCTGGGATAAGACCTTTGGGAATCCTGTCAACTAATATACAAACAGTGCAAAATGTAAGAAATACTGAAAGCAGTCTACTTCCAATGCAACCATGGTTTCAATAAAAATGATGCAGTATTTAATACACACACACACACCACACTGTTGCAAAGGAAACCCTTTTAAATCCAGTGCTTGTACCCTTTTTTGTAATTATTTTCCATATGTGTAAATGGTGGAAGATGCAATAAAGAGAATGGGACTTGCTAGTATGATTAACAGTTTCGTTTACCTTGAGATATTTTGTAACTCTTTCATGCTAAATTGACATGGACTTGCTGTAGTAATATACACTAGACATAGAAGGTAATTTTGGCAATGCAACTTGTTGCCTTTACACTCCAGAAATAACTACAGCTTGCTGAGCATGCTACAGCCATGATTTGACATGTGCACTTAGTTTCAGACTTTAAAATGATTCTTTGTGTTACAATGGCTTATGACTGTCTTGGTTTTCCTTTTTGGGATGGCAGCCTGAATGGGTATGGTAGCTTTAACTGCTGAACAGTATATTTTCCCTGCCCCAGAAGTGTGCCTGCTGAAAGCAGCATGAGTAGAAATTAGGGGTGTGCAAAATGGGCCATATTTGATTTGGATTCGGCCCAAATCAGTGACAGCGGTTTGATTTGTTGATCTGGATCACTGTCCCTGATTCGATTTGGCTGAATCCGAATCTGAAGATTCAGTGCTGATTCAGAGAATCAGCGATTCGGCCATTGATGCAGCTTTAAATGTTTTTTCTACATACCTCAAGGTACCAGGCGTGGCTCATGAATGCTGAGATGGAGGGGTGGATAGAGCATCCCACAGGAGCATGGGC